GTTAATGCATAATTTGAAAATATTTTAGAACCTAGATGATTTTGCTATATTGATGTGCCTAAACTAATAATATGCTAAGTTACCATTGCTCAAATTAGAAAAATTGATAGTTTTGCTCGTGGTGATTATGATCATATTATTGTAGCTAGCCTTATTTATAACACGCAAGCCTCATTTTTTATTCTGGTTCCTCGGGCATTCCCTTGCATAGTGCTGGGCACTGCCGCATATGCGATAGGTATTGCTGAGGCGGTAGCAGGGTCGGTCCCCGTGATCCCTGCCGCAGTGCTGGCAGATCTTCCCACGTGCTGCCCCCGTAGCCTGAGGAGGGGCCTGGATGGCGGGTATGGGCCTCTTACTGGATTGGACAGGCGCAGTAGGTGCTGGCCTGCGGAGCGGGGCTGAGGGTCGGGAACTCCCCGCTAGCTGAGGGTGGGTGTCGAAGCTCCTTTCTATGATCTGCGCCTTTGCTAGGACTGCTGAATATGTCTCGAGCTCCATTACCAGTAAGTGTTGTCTGATCTCCGGGCGGAGACCCCACTGGAATTTCCTGGCCTTTCGGCCCTCATCCATCAATGTCTCTGGGGCATATCGGCCCAGCTCCAGGAACTTACGGGCATACTCCGACACTGTCATGTTTCCCTGGACCAATTGAGCAAACTCCATTTCCTTCAAGTGTTGGATGTGTTTAGGGAGATACTCCGCGTGGAAGGCCGCTAAGAACTGCTCCCAAGTAGCTGGTGTGGGCAGGGTGGTCCGATTGAGCTCCCACCAGCGTACTGCTTCCCCTACCAGCATGTAGGAGGCAATGGCAGCCCTCTGCTCAGGAACTACTCCCAAGGTCTCGAAAGCTCTCTCGGTCTCTGCCAGCCAGTATTGGGCCTCTTCAAAAGAGGATCCCCCTGCAAAAGTAGAAGGGTTCAGTCTTCTGTACCTCTCTATGAAGCCGGGGTCGATCAAGGAAGGAGCGGGATCCCAGGGTAGAGGGACTGGGGCCGGCTGAGGGTGAACTGGGGGGCCCTGTGGTGGCACTTGCTGATGTGGTGGGGGTACTGGAATGTGCTGTGGCAGTGCCTGGTGGTACCATGGCTGTGGTACCGGGTCGTACCGTGACTGTGGTGCCGGGTGGTACTGTGGAGGAGCAGGCTCCTGCTGGGGTGGCTCGGGATCAGCCTGCTGTAGCAGGGGCTCAACCTACGATAGCGGAGGAGGTCCGGGTAACTCCTTTCTCTCCTCTCGCCTTTGCTGGGCAACTACGAGAGCTTCCACCATCTCAAATAGTCTGTCTAAATCCTCCCGAAGCGAATTATCTTGAGCCGCTCAGTTTAGTGGGGGCCTTCCTCTCCTCATTTCTGTATACCTGCATTCACAAGGAATGGTTGAGTAACGATCTATCGGTGAGTATTTCTCTAAGGCACTATTGTGTAATGGATGGGTCTGAGGAAATGCGGCTCTGATACCAACTGTAACGGCCCCGGAAATTTAAAATGAAATATGTGTATTAAAAAGGTCAAATGCGGAAGCGAAATAAAAATTTCGATTAACATCCCTTACACTAAAACCAAAAACGTGCTCAAAGTATAAAAGAACAAACTAACTAAAAAAGAAACTCGAAAGTAAAAGCTATAAATATAACTACGGAGTCTTTAGGCGTCTCCTTCGCCGTCTTCCTGCGGAACGGGCTCGGGAATAATGTCTTCCTGATCTGAAATGATTAAATAAGGAATGAGCTACACCAGCCCAGTAAAGAGATCACACTATCTCACCGTCACGGAGGTAAAGGTGGGTAGAAAACACAAAAAGACCAATGGAGCATAATTTACAACAAATTCTTTTATCAATAATAAAATCCTTTACTATCCACTTACCTCGGTGAAATTCATAAAATAATATACGAAAGCAATAACATTATCATCATCATGAAATCATATGAGCTGTATAACATAATACTTATCACACCTTTTGCAATTCAATCATTACACAACATATTTTTCTTCATTTACCAGCCTACTAGTATCCATGGGGATCCATAGGGGTCCAGCTACTCGTGAACCCTTAACACTTGTAATCAGATTCCAGGGCCGTCCCCATACCCCGTCTGGTATGGGCACCAAAACTATAAACCTCAATACCCGTCCGGTATGAGGGTGAAACGGGCCGTCCCCATACCCTGTCCGGTATGGGCGCCAAAACACATAAGGTCTTCATACCCCGTCCGGTATGAGAGACCACAGTCCCGGTAGGGTTCCCTACGGACCCGGTCCGTCCACCATCTCCTAGGATATCTAGTCAGGCTGACCACATTATACAATTATCAATTTTCATAACCTTTCATCCCCCTTTTTCCTCAGTCAGCATCATCAAATTACACACAAACATGCAAACCGGTAGTTCACGCCAACAAGACAACACACAACATCGGGTTCTCAGTCATTCAGTCTATAATCAATAAAACAGTGATACATGCACACGAAACTATGAAATAAAAACATCAGACATCATACTGCATTTAAAACTGTAAAATAGAACAAATAACAACTGACCGACAAATACACCAGACTCGGGCTCCATTAGCAACCTCAAACAATTTCACACAGCTATTGATTCATGAAATACCATTTCATCATTTATTGCACTTTAATACCGTGATAGGAAATAGGGTGAGGAATTCTTACTTGTTTCGGGGTCCGAATACGGCTCTAAAGTGCGCCTACAGGCTGTCCCTAATTTTTCCTGAATTTTTTCCGAGGAATTGAAACGCACTACTGGTACCTGCACGTGTCCCAAAAATTCCAAATTAGACCCAGGGCCCCTTTCAGCCAATATCGCAATTTCGGCACGGCGGCTCCGCCGTGCTCCGATGACGGCGATTCACCTCGGGTTGGCCGTTTCTGGCCGAATTCGGCCACACTTGCATCGGTCTCTGCAATAAAACAACCTAGGGCCCTCGGGGGGCCAAAAAATTACGAAAAACCGAAGCTTACCGGCGGCGGTGCTCTCGGGTGCGGCGGCTCTCCGGTGAGGTTCGTGTTTTGGTGATTTAGCTCCAATCAACCTGTAGAGAAAAGAATGGTGATCACGGTGATATATAAATTGTATCAAACGGAGGCCGGGAAAGGCCTCATCGGAGGCAAAAACTGAGGAGGGACGCGGTGGCGCCGCTGGGTTTCGACCGTGTTTTTCGGCCGTTTGGCCAGGATTTTGACTCCGATTTGGCTACAGGAGAACTCATCATTGAAAAACGAGCCGGGGGTATAAAATTTACCTCGATCGGCAGTCGGAAAACTCCCCGGTGTGGCGGCGGGTGGCGGCGACCGGCTCCTCCGGCGTCTGGTTCGTCTTCTCCGGCGAGGGTAGGCGGCTAGGGTTTTTGTGGTCAGGTGTAGGAGTTTTATTTATAACCTTTTGCCTTTTGATCACAGCCGTCCATTTTGATTAAATCTGAGCCGTCCGTGCGCGTGCATCTGGACCGTCCGTGGGCTTGCATCTGGGCCGTCCGTGCGCACGCTTGATCTGGGTCGTCCGTGCTCGCGGGGACGCATCTGGACCGTCCGATCGCGCGCACGCGGATCGCCCACGTGGCCCGTTCCCGAGTCGACGTGGTCTTGCCACGCGACAGGTCCTGGTTGGCCAAGGCTGCTGACTGGGCCGCTGACGTGGCTGCTGGCGTGGCGCTGACGGAGCGTAATTTTTCTAAATTGCGTTTTGACCCCCGGTTTCTGATTTTCTTTTCAAAAATACCTCCAGAATCCTAATTTTCACCCCTTTTTCCCAAAATCAATTTCAATTAAATCCAAATAATATTTTTACCCAATTTTACAATTATTGTTGTTTTTATTTTTATTAACTTAAATTAAAATAAACTAAATAAATAAATAAATAAATAATAAAATTAATGATAATAACAATAAAATTCTAAAATTGTTGGGCGTTACACCTCACGTGTTGACTACTAACTCATAATATAATTCCTCCTCCTCTCTTAACAAAACTAAATATTTACATTTAAGACTTTTTTTGGTAAGAAATTATATAAAATTTACGTTGACTTAATTTTGTACGTATATAAGAAACTAAAAAGGTAATAGCTTAATTTGGAGCATTTAAAAGTACATGTTGATTAAAATTTAAGTCATTAACTTTAAAATAAAAGTTTTACTAGATATACCCTAATTTTCTCTACTACCATTTGTCTTATTGCTTTGTTTTAGTTTTTTATGATAAAGACTAATATAAACATGTAATGCTTTGAGCTACATGGGAGATCATACACTAATTTATTTATATAATTGGTAAAATTTAGAAAGACTTAAAATTTATTTACTTCTCTTGTGGACTACTTTCATGATTTATTCTTTTGATGGGTTTTACCTTTAAAAAATGTTAATGGATTACAATATACATATCTAATTTGAACAATCTCAAACTATCTCATAAGCTAGTTTAATTAAAAATATGTATATAAACAATTTCCTTGTATATTGTGTATTGTGAGTGGTTACTATATTAATTAAACATTAGATTGTTTTCAATTATTTGAAATCTATATATACATATATATATATATATGCTTTAAAATGTTGTCTCCCACTCCTTTTGTTTTTAAAAGATAAAAGAGTAGAATAATTGACCACACAAGGAAAAGGTAAAGATAACTAATTTTTTTGTATTAGAACCACAATATTACTCGAATAACCTCTTCTATAATATATATATATATATATATATATATCTATATACATACATATATATATGCATATGCTGCAAAATGTTGTCTCCCACTCCCTTTGTTTCTAAAAGTAACATAGTAGAGTAATTGACCCAAAAGGGAAAAGGTAAAGGTTATTTGTATTAGAATTACAGTATTACTCCAATAATCTTTTTTCGTAGTTTACAGTTATATATATATATATATATATATATATACTTTCTTACTTAAACTTATTGGATGTAAAATATTGAACAAAATAAAAAATGCAAATGTTGCACAAATAACCACGTTAGCTTTCATGCTTGTCTTTCTTTTCAACCAATAATGAAAATATATATTACACGATCTAAACAAGCATATACGAAACAAATAACAACAATATATCTAAGAAAATAATTGGCTATACCAATATGTTTATTTAATATAAATACATATTGTAAGTAAATAGAAATTAAAGATAGAGTTCGATGATTGATCTTGTACCAAGTGCAGGAATAATCTTATAGTGATGGAATCCAGCATGAAAGAAGAGTGTAGCCCATTCTTCCTCAGTTCTTTGTTTTCCAGGGAGGTTGGCCATTATTACCATGTCAAATAAGAGTTGTGTTTCGATCAACTCTATATCTTCCTTTTCCTTCTCCATGACAATGTCTATTATTATCACCTTACCACTTCTTTTGTCACTTTTCATTATTGACTCTTTACAACGTTCAAGTATCTTTTCACAGTCTTTGTCATTCCAATTGTGTAATACCCACTACATGCATCAGTATACATATGTAGTTAGTGCAATAAACATGTATCTAAGTGGACTATCCATATTAAATAAAAAAATAATTAACATGCTATCACTTACTTTAAACATAATCCCATCGGCAGGAGGAATTGCTTCAAACATATCTCCCCCGAGATATGTCAAGTTATTGGTGGATTGCAAGCCATCAACTACTTGTGGAAGATCGAAAACGGTGAACTCTAAGTTTGGGAATTGCTGGGCCAAACCTCTAGTAAACTTGCCAGTGCCACCTCCAACATCGACCACTTTCTTTAACCCAGTGAAAACATCTTTACAATTATTTATTATAATTGTTGTCACTAAATGAGAATCACATGTCATAGCTTCATTAAACAAATTATTAAATCTAGGTTCACGGGCAGTATAGTTCCATAATGTGATCCCATGTGCTGTATAAAATGGAGTTGGATCATCATTTTGGAACCATGTGCTGAGATGGGGCCATGGGTTCATTAAGATAGGATCAACCATCGCAAACAAAAATGGTATATTACTGAAGGGATTGTTTTTGAGGAGCAATTGGGAAGAAGTGGTAAGAACATATCCTTCTTCTAGCTCATTTGGATTTATTTTTTCCTTCTTGAAGAAACCAGAGTTAACTAATATGCGCATTAGGCGATGAACACCATCTGCTTTTGAGGGGTTGATTGGTAGTGCGGAAATAATTTGTTGATCTGTAATGGGTTTCGCATAGTTGTGAATGATATCTAGTATACCTAATTCAACAGCGCACTTAAGACAAGCCGAGTGTATGAAACTAAAGATGTGATTCCACACATTGGCTTGAGCCTTTAGTAGCTCATTTCTATCTATATTCTTCCCATCGATAGAACTCATGTTTTGCATTCGTCTGTCTTTTGTAAGTTTGTATAGATTAACTTCCCCTATATATAGATGTAGATTTAAACCTGCCATATTGATTTTTTTTTTTCTAATTTTTTAGTCAATATATAAGTAGTTATTGATAATCTTTAAACATTCAGGGATCTCAAAAGATTAATTCATAATTATACAATTAAACAACACTTTAATGATACATTTGTTCAAATGTTAAAAAATTTGAGCAACCAAATGGCAACATATATTCTTCAATTTTTAATTTATATTTTAATTAAAGTAACAATAATGACTCGATATGCAATACCAATTTTGATCAATAAAAAAAAATATAAAAGTTACACCACCATCAATGGTGATGTAATTAGATATGTCACATGAGACGATGATGTAATTAGATATGTCACATGATTTGTCTTTTCTTGAACAATATTATATGAATTGTCTCTTAATGAAAGTTAAAGATACTCCACAATTGAGTGAAAAGAAAAATTTAAATTAAATATTGACAAATATAATTATAAAAGTGCTATTAGTGCTCACTTGGCCCATATTAAATTTGAGAGCATCTAGTTGTTGAAATAATTTTGGAACCAAGATACCAATTATATTATATATGTCATGTTTTTTAATATAACGTAATATATATTTATTCTTGTATTAATCAAGAATGAAATGTTTAATTTTTAACTTTATAGATGTAAATAAGTACTATCTGACTTAAAGGTTAAATGTTTATTTGGAGTGATTTATTAAAAACTTATGTTATTGATCGTGTTGTTAATCAGAATCCAATACAAAAAAAAATTTTCTGTGTTGATCAAAGTAAAAAATTAATTGCTCTGCTCGTGGTGATCCTGATCACGCTAGTACAGGTGGGTTGATTAGAAATAGTAATAGTAATTGGATTATTGGGTTTATGTGCAACTTAAACATTTTTAAACTGATATGGTTGAAGTTCTAGAGGTTTTTGAGGGGTTTAAGTTTGCATGTTGTAAAGATAACACAAAAATTTATTGTTGATGTTGATTTTTTATATGTTAAGTAACTTCTTATCCAAGATGATAGAGATCGATTTTCTTTCAAATCTTGTGAGATTCAGCTCATGATACTGTTTAATTTTGATTGGAACATTCACATCTGGCACATCCACAACTCAACAAGTCCATTAGGGATTGTACGGAATTAATTCATTCTTCGAATGATCTCATTTTACACCTTATCTTAGATTGTTACGATATTGTTTAGATACATCTTATTGGAAACTAATGTTCTTATGATGACTCGTTTATTTTTTTTTATAGTTAAAAATTAATATTATTTAGACACAATATAAATTTATATTGTTTTGTATAATTTATATTGTTTAAATTATATATAATTTTAAATAAAACATATAAGTATTAATTCCCGTGAAAGTTGTATAATTAATTATTGTAATTAAAAAATTTAATATTTTTTTGAAAAAGTAAATTCGCTAATTACAAGAATTAAACACTTAAGAACTATAATTAAAAGAAATAAATAAAGAGGTACCATTTTTGCAATTAAGAAAAAAATGCTTTGTAATTTTTAAACTGTACTTACTGCGCCGGCGTACGAAGAGCAGGCGTCGTCTTGTCCGACGAGCCCGATGTCCTCTCTCACAGCTTGCGGAGAGTCGGCCTTCGACTACTTCCCTGCTCCTCGGAAATCTTTTGGTTTTGGTTAAAAAAGATACAGTAAGGGGCGAAGATCAGACAATCTTACCAATTCCATTAAAGAGGGAGAGAACAGAGAGAAATGATCCTACCTGTAGTGAAGCTAGGAACTCTTTTTCTAAAAACCATATGCAAACCCATTGCTAATCGGCTCAAGAAATAGGCTGGATTTCACCCCAAGCGTCGCCAGCTGATCATTAACATCGCGCAGGTAACTTTCTTTTTCTTTTCGTCTTCGATTCATTTCGATAATCGTTTTTACCTTAACTTGGTTATGTTAGTGATAATGTTGAGCTGATTATCGACGCCACTTTATGCTCTGCTTGTATGCTTGTGTGTGCGAAATGGTGCCTGTCTGGATCTGCTGGTTTCTGCGTACCTTGTTTTGTGTTGGATAATAATTAAGTATTCATGCTTTCTTATTTATTAAACTGCGGAAGGAACCTGCCCTAGACTGTTGTTTAGTTTCAAATCAAGAATTGTTAATTTATTTCCAAACATTTTTTATACATCATTATAGAAATTCTCCCGTCATGTTTCTATATGTATAAAAAACTAACCGTGATAGTCCTCGTCACATCTTCAACTTACATAAGCATGTGCATGTTGTGACTGTTGTTTCTTCTTTAATGACCCACTTATCTGTTCTCCAGGCGCCAATGATATTAGTTAATTCGATTTATGAAATTTTGATTATGTATTCTGCAGTATTCTAACATTATCTATGTCATTAGCTTTTGTAAGGCTACACATTGAAGCACATTGTTATGACAAGTCTAAACTTCAATGAGGAATGGGATTTAGTAAACAAAAATATTGATATCACAACTTAGTGAGTTTACAACATAACATTGTCTTACTTTTAAAATCTTAAAATCCACTAAAAATTAGCATCCACGGAAGTTTGGCAGAGAAATAGTGGAAACTCTACCACTGAACTTAAACTTTTGAACACATTAGGCCATAACCTTTTGGAAACCCATAATAAATGACATGTACCACAGTTGAGATGGCCCTTTCTTATTTATTATAACTTGCTGGAATTAACAGAAGATATGCGGTGAGTATGACAGTCTCAGTAGAGATCCTACATGTTGAAATTGACAGCAAAAGCTAGAAAACATAAAAATTTTAGTCTGTTACCATGATGCTGTCAGCAGTACTTGTAATATCAGGTATCTTCATGCAAATCTATGCTGCTTCCCATTGCAATGTTTAATCCCTTCGGGGATCCGGTGACTGTATGACACCATTTTTCACTTGAGCACACAGTTAAGGGTCATCAGATTTATACTTAATTATGGTTGCCCCAGTTAATGGCTATTGAACCACAAGCATCTGTGGTAAACACTCAAGGTGTCAACTTTTCACCTTATTGTTCATCAAAGAAAGCCGGCCTAACTCCGGCATAGTTACTAGATAGTAGATATTACTATGTCTCCCAATATTGACCATGAAATGTGTGTATGTTGGAAATTACTATAATTATGGTCCTAAATATCCAATAAAAATTTGTGATAAAGTTTACATCTCTCAGAATCTTCATGATTACTTCACTCCTTAGCTAATTCCTGTGTATCCCTTTCTAGTTTTTTAGTAGAGTTGATAAAATGCATTTTACAATTATGAACTGACTATTTTAATTACACCGTCCATTTTGTTTCGGTATTATATCTCTCTGGGATTTGTTTTTCTGTGGGATGAGATGTTTCTTCTTCTCTATTGCATGGGTATCTTGTTGGTGTTGTTTTGTCTCTCTGTTTGTCCTGCTATATAATATTTTTTAAGGTTTTATTCTTTTAAAAGGGAAGAAGAAGTTTTTTGCCCTTTAAATTGTGATTTCAGTTCTCATAGTGGCTAATTTTTACTTATTTCTAAATAAAACTTAGTTGCTCCTTTATAATGATGGATCAGGCAAATCATCGTTTTACAACTAGAGTCTAAAGACGTATTTATTGCCTTGATACTGATGTAGCAATACGTCCTCTGAATGAGGAAAAAGCTATCTAAGCTGCTGCGGACTTGTGAGTTTAATATGCTAAGATAATTGGTATATGAATTTTCTTCTCTTAAGATATGCGAGATTTGAATATTTCAGTTAAAGTTAAGAAGTGTCACGATTAAACCTCTTTAGATATGGAAAGAAAGAAACTTTTACCATATTGGCAAGAAATTGCTTAACATATAAAAAATCAATCTTAGCAATAAAAATTTTTGATGCCTTTATGACATGCAAACTTGAGATCTTCAAAAACCTCTAGAACTTTAGCCACCTCCAATTTGGAAATATTCAAGTTGTATGTAAATCCCATAACCCAGTTAGTACTACTTCTAATGAGGCTAGCTGCAATAATATGATCATAATCATCACGAGCAAATCTATCAATCTTTTTTACTTGAGCGATAGAAACTTAGCATATTATTAGTTTAGGCACATCAATATAACAAAATCATCTAGGTTCTAAAATATTTTCAAATTACACATTAACTATTGAATTAAGTAACTTTTTTTTTTACTTGAGATGTCAATAAATATAAAGTGAAAATTTTAAATATATTAATCAAAGTAGTAGCAAAAATTTTAAACAAATTATTGCATCTTAATTTGAAATTCAGTATATAATTACTATTTTTTTCTGGGTTCACTTGGAAAATAATATATTTACGTTTACTTCTCTTTAAAGAAGAGCTAACAAAGGATTCTAAATGACAACACATTCAATACGCCAAATGTTTTGATTATCATCATTTGTTTTAGTTTCACTTTTTGTTGGTCAAAATTGGTATGATATATCTCGTCATCCTTACCACGAACTTTTTTTTTGTGTCAGAAAAAGATATTTTTGCGTACTCAAATTCTTAAATTTAAAAAAAAAGGAAAATGAAAAAAAAAATTAAAATATCAACTATTGGAGAAATTAATTCCTAAATGACATACAATCACAACAAAATAAAAATAAAATAAAAGAATTATATAAAATTTAACGTAGTTCGGTGGTGTGCTTACATTTACGGGTAGAACTGATAAGAAGATTTTTTATTATGATTAATTAATAGAGTATATCTCCAGTAAATAAAAAATAAAAAAAATTTTGGGATAAATAAAAACCTTAAGATATTCAGGATATATATCACATAATTCTAATGATAATTAAAAAATATCTACAAAGTATTCATAAAATATCCACTATAATATACATCACATATTTCATAGAATAAATAAAAAATATCTTCAAGTTATATATAAAATATATACTAACATAAATATGAACTATTTCTCAAAATATAGATAAATATCTTCAAAATTCAAACTATATCAACATCAATTTATGAATATTATTATTATATTAGCTAATATGAAAATTTGATTTACGATTACTATCCCGAATATGAATATATTCTTTTTTGAAAAAAAAAAATTACTCTTCTAATTGTATTTAATTAGTAATTTTATATAACTATCTAATTGAAGTAATTAATTTTAATGGTATGTCATGTCAATTGAAATAAATAAAGTTAGAAAAATGACACTTTATCTATTAATTTTTACAATAAAAACAAACATAAGAATATAGGGAAATAAGCACTCAATGTTCTACTTTTTCTTTTGTTTGCCACCAAGGGGGAACAAATCAAACAACTCATCACAAAAGGGAGATGTGCCTAAATAATGTCATAGTGATTTAAGTAGTTGTAGAAAAGGAGATAATATTAGGAGCATGAATTAATTCTCTATAACTCCTAATGGACTTATGAGTTTAATATGCAAAACAATTGGTAAATGAATTTTCTTCTCTAGAGATATGCGAGATCTAAATCTTTCAGTTAAAGTTAAGAAGTGCCACGAGCTAAACTTCTTTAGATATGGAAAGAAAGAAACCTTTTCCATATTGGCAAGAAATTGCTTAACATATAAAAAATCAATCTTAGCAATAAAATTTTTTGATGCCTTTATGCCATGCAAACTTGAGATCCTCAAAGACCTCTAGAACTTTAGCCACCACCAATTTGGAAATATTCAAGTTGCATATAAATCCCATAACCTAGTTATTACTACTTCTAATGAGGCTAGCTGCAATAATATGATCATAATCACCACGAGCAAAACTATCAATTTTTTTCATTTGAGCGATCGTAACTTAGCATATTATTAGTTTAGGTAGATCAATATAGCAAATTATCTAGGTTCTAAAATATTTTCAAATTATGCATTAACTATTGAAGTAAACAAATTTTTTT